GAACCTAAAAAGAAACCTACATAAGTGGCAAGGCACTTGGTGCTCAAGGCTAAGAAGACAATATTGTACAAATGTCAATACCACCCAAAGTGGTCTCTAACTATAATGTAATCCCAATTTGAAAAAAGATTCTTTACTGAAATAGAAAAACACATCACCAACTATTCATGAATAAGAGAGGCCTGCATAGTCAAGGCACTATGAAGGACCAAGAACGAAGTAGGGACCCTCATTTGTCCTGATCTAAAAACCTACTAGAGAGCTGTAGTCATCCAAACAGCCTGTTACTGGTTCACCAATAGAGATGCCTTTCAGTGGAATGCAATGGACAGACGCGAACCTATCTACTGACAGATGAATTTTAACCAGGTGTGAAAATCCATTTAATGGGGGAAATAAATACTTTCTTTAGTATGTGGTGCTAGAGACACTAGGCAACTATTTGCAGAAAAATGAAACAGGACCCACACCTCACACTACACATGAACACAAAATGGATTAAAGACCTAAACGTTAAAGGAAACACTGTAAAGCTCTGGAGAGAAAACACTGGGACAAAATGAAAAAAAAAAAAAAAGACTATCAAACAACGACAACTGCAAGAGCAGCAGAAACAAAATAAATACCGGGACCGAATAAGAATTAAACTATGCTCATCAAAATACTTTATCAAAAGACTAAAAAAAGACAACCTACAGAATGGGAGAAAAAGTCTCTAGAAATAACCTAGCACATGAGGGTCTAATCTATCAAGCATATAGAAAATTTCCACACGTCACTAAAAAGACAAATGATCTAATTAAAAAATCGACAAAAGGCATGACCAGGCCCTTTACCATGGACGATAGTCAAGTGGTCAACAAACACGTGGGAGGACACTCAGTTTTCAAGTCACTTAAAGCACTCACTGCTTCGAGTTGATTCTGCCCCACAGCGACCCTACAAGGCAGGGTGGAACTCTGCCTTTCAAGGCTATATCATTTTTACAGAAGCCAACGGCCCCTTCTGTCTCCCATTGAGTGACCAGTGCGTCTACCGCTGTGGTAGCAGCCCAATGCTTAACCCTTTAGCTGCAAATCAACACAATGAGTTCTCTCACCCGGACTTAAATAGCACTAATTAAAAAAACCCAGAAAACAACAAATACAGGCAAGGATGTGGGGAGACCGCAACCCCAGCAGGAATGTTAAATGGTACAACCACCGGGGGAAACAGTACAGTACTTCCGCAAAAACTACACTAAAACTACCTATCGTTCTACTGTATGTTCCTATCCTATGTGCCAGCAATTCTACTCCTAGGTATACACCCCCAATAGATAGCCCCCAATTTACTGCCATAGAGTCGCCCTCAACTCACAGTGATCCTACAGGACAGGGTAAAATGGCCTTTGTGAGTTTCTGAGACGGTGGATGTTTTGGGGAGTAGAAAGCCTCATCTTCCTCCCTGAGAGGTTTCAAAGTGCTATGTGGAGTGCAGCCCAACTCGTAACCACTGCGCCCCCAGGGCTCCACTAGAGACCCAAAAGGAGTGACACCCAGTCATCTGCAGATTTATGGCCATTGCAGCACCAGTCCTGAAAACAAGGCCAGTGCTTACGGATGGATTACGAGAAAGCAACGTCTCAGAGCACAAGGCTATGTAACCATAAAGATTCATGATGCCTCCTCAAAATATCTCTCGACATTGATGAGTCCTGCAGGACATTATGCTGACTAAAATAAGTCAAGCGCAAACGGGCAAATATTGTGTAGTTCCACTTTTTGCCAAAGGACAGAAATACCTATACATACAGAAAGCAATGCTCTTTGGTAGTTCCAAGGGGACGGTGTGTAGGGGAGGGGAAATTTCTATTTAGTAGATAATTGTTATTTTGGGTGATGGAAAAGCCATTACTGTCTGTGCAACCAGGCGGCCCAAGGTAAACGATACACTCCTACCCAGAATGTTTATGGTAAATGCTGGGGCATATACATTTTGCAACAATTATCAAAATAGGGTGGCAGGAGGCTTCAAAAAGTTCTTGGAAGAATCTCCTTATCTTTTTTAAAAAAATCATTTTATTGGGGGTTCATACAAGTCTTATCTCCATCCATCCATCCATCCATCCATCCATCCATCCATCCATCCATCCATCCATCCATTGTGTCAAGCACATTTGTACATTTGTTGCCATCATCATTCTCAAAACATTTGCTTTCTACTTGAGCCCTTGGTATATGCTCCTCATTTCCCCCTCCTCCCTCGCGAACCCTTGATAATTTATAAATTATTATTTTGTCATGTCTTACATTGTCCGACATCTCTCTTCACCCACTTTCCTGTTGTCCATCACCCAGGGAGGCGGTTGTATGTAGATCCTTGTAATTGGTTCCCCCTTTCCACCCCATCCTCCCAAATTTTCTTATCTTTTAATTCCATTTTCTCTACAATTTTTTGAGTGATTATATATGTGTGTGTGCATATAACAAAAGGTGTCAAAATGTTTGTGGAAAATGAAATGAAAAGATAAAGGGGTTTTTCCATGAACCTTCTGAAGCCTTCTTATGTATATGTGTATATGTGAGGAGCCCTGGTGGCATCGTGAGTTAGGCAGTGGGCTATTCATCAAAGGCTGGCGATTCAAACCCACAGCCACCCTGAGACTGAAAGATGAGACTGTCTGTTCCCATCAAGATTTCTAGCCCTGGGAAGTCTATGGGTGGAGTTGCTATCACCGGCATTGAATTTAGTGGCGGGAATGATCTGAGACCAAATGTCCACAATTATAGCAAAAAGGGCGAGGGAAACCAGCTTACCAGAAAGGAAATGCCTAGAGGGGAATTAATGACAAAACATTGTGAAAAATGTGACCAATGTATCTGAACAATCTTTGCAGAAATTGTTAAATGGGAAACAAATTTCAGTGGTATACACACCACTGAAAACGCAATGTTATTTAAAAACAAAACCCCAAGACCTTCCTGTGCTAATCTGACTACTATATCAATGATAACACTACTTAATTATTTAGAAGACACAGTAATACTCATTCTATTCAGTTGCCACTGAGCCGACTCTGACTTAATGTGAGCCCATATGTGTCTTGTTTGGATCTTGCTCATGGCAGCAGTCAAGAGATCAAACGACACATTGCACTGAGTAAATCCGCTGCACAAGACCTTGTTAAGGTGTTGAAAAGCAAGGAGGCTACTTTGAGAGGTAAGGTGCACCTGACCCAACCAGGGTATTTTCAATTGCCTCATCTACATGTGAAAGTGGGACACTGAATAGGGAAGACAGGAGAAGAAAAGAGGTGTTTGAATGATGGTGCAGGCAAAGAATACTGAAAGTACCACGGACTGCCGAGAGAACAGACAAATCTGCCTTGGAAGAAGTACAGGCAGAGTGCTCCTCAGGGCAAGCATGGCGAGGCTTCCTCTTTTCACGTACTTTGGGCATGTGGTTAGGAGGACACCATGCTTGATAGAGGGCGTTGGAGAACAGGAAGGCCCTAGACCAGACGGGCTGACAGTGGCCGTGGCCACAATGGGCTCCAGCAGAAGAACAACTGTGACGATGGTGCGGGGCGGGGCAGTGCTGTGCACAGGGTCGCTGTGAGTTGGAATTGACCCCACGGCACAGAACAACAACAACACAACATAAATGCCCTGTAGGGCTTTGGGTGGCTGATTTTCCAGAAGTAGACTGCCAGGCCTTGTTCCCAAGGAGCCTTTCCACTACACTTAAACTGCTCATCTTTCGGTTAGTAGCTGAGCCCCTAAACCATTTGTACCACCATGGAAATTAAATGTAACAGCTCATTTAATTCTCATAGCAATCTCATGAGAAGAGACGTTGGAGATGAGGACACTGTGACGTGAAGTGGCAGAGCTGGGATGCAAACCAGGAGTCCATGCTCTGAACCCTGAGCTACCACTGCCGCCCATGGGACTGGGTCTCTGCTTCACATTTGTTGTAGAGGAAAAAATGAGGCAACTCAATGAACATATGGGCCTTAGAAGATCTTATTTGTAGATTCATTAAAATCCAGCATTTACAGGATATTAAAACCTTTCTCCATCAAGGACGTTTGCAAACTCTAGGAGACAGTAATGGTAAAGGTACAATCGCCCTTGTGGACTTGCCAAATCAGTGTGGAAGAGCTTTTATGAAAAGTCTTAGAAATGTGGCTCACAGGGTAATGGTTTATGGTCAAACTGCCTTTTGATCTTTCATGTGAAAAATATGTACTTACATATATTGCAGGAAACCTCACTACTTCCTTCCTAAGTGTCGGTCAAAAAACACTAATTACTTGACTAATTAGACTGTGAAACTTCCCTTACAGATGGCAAAAATGAGCTGTTTTCACCCCACAAATTAAGTTGGGACATACCACCACCACCACCACACACACGTAGAAAAGTTTCAATGGTTTCATTGTAGACAGCATGGACAATTTAAACAAATCATATAAAAATAAATTAGAAACTAATGAAAATAATCTGTTCTTTGCTAAAGAGTGGGGGAAGAGGACCCTGTTCTGTAGAAAGAAGGAGGTGATGCAGGGCCTGCTGGCTAGGAGCCTCACTGGGGCAGAGCGTGAAGGCTGAGTGCCACTCACTCTCTGGGAAGTAGGCCACCCAAACATGTCCCTCAGCCCACAGGTGAGTTGTGATTGTCATCCTGGTTTTCTGGAACTTTCTGGTCATTCTACTTGTAGTCAGCAGGCTGAGGCAGCATGGCACCCTCTGTTCTCTTAGCTAATCCCCATGGCACACGCAGCCTATTTGTCATGTTCACCTCAGAGCCCGAGATCCGTGGTTTCCCATTAGCTCTGAGTTTGCACCAATTCAGATGGCCACATTGGCTCATTGGTCAGGAGAATTTTCAGAGCTGAGTACAAAGGAACCTAATACCAAGTTCGGCAGAGGAAGTGCCTATCTGACTCGAGTGTGCTACCTGCAGAAGCCCCGTGTTGGGTGAGGGAAGCTGAGACTGCACCCTGAGATACTCACCGGCACCCAGGCTGCCAGTAGCTGCAGTCCAGCCCATAACAGGCGGGATGGCCCCAACCACTGCTCCGACCCATGTGTTGGCAATGCTGATCCTCTTCAGTGGTGTATAACAACAGGTGTACAGGAAAATGTTGAAGGCTCCCAAAGCCCCGGTGAGGGGGTTCACCCCCCAAGTCAGCAGGGCAACTCCTGGCACGGCACAGCAAGTGGCAAAGGACACGGCGAGCAGAGGGCTGCAAAAGAGGAGAGAGGAGTCATTTTCTTTCTTTTTTAAACCGTTTTATTAAGGGCTCATACAACTCTTATCACAGTCCATACATACATCAATTGTGTAAAGCACATTTGTACATTCATTGCCCTCATCATTCTCAAATATTTGAGAGGAGTCATTTTCAACGCAAGTTCACCACACGGTGTGGAACTGGTAGTGGCCCAGGGCAGGGGCAGTGAATTATTTAATGTGGCCCTTGTAGCCAAAGTCTCTGACACTCCCACTTTCCTGTGTGGGCCTGGGCAAGAAGGTGGGGGAAGGCACTGCTGGGATTCACATGAGTAATCTGTAACGTGATTCATTGTTATTGCATTCTGCTCAGTATACAATGAGCCCTCGGCGAAGCAGGAGGGGTGAAGCTTACTACTGGCGGGAGCCACTCTGGATCCTGCAGTCCCTGCTGAGTGAACCTCCGGGACCCTCAAGGCAGCTATGGAATTTGAGGAGTGGCACAGGCACAGGAGTGGTAGAGGGGCAGCAGCCGCACAACCTGGAGCCAGGGCATGAGAGGGAATGGACTTCCCAACCCACAGAGCCCGGAAAGCTGGGTGCTTTGGGGCAGGAGGCCAGCTTATGGATTGGGGTACCTCTGGGCACTTAAATTGGGGAAGCTGGGCTTGCTGGATGCCTTTGAGTTGAGGCTTACAGGGGGTAGCATTGTAAGTAACAGCGTCCAGACTAAACAACTATCAGAAGCGTTTCTGTGAGTTGCATTGTAACTGCTGACTTCTCCAGTAAACCCTGTCCTCATGGGCCTATCTTCAAGTTCTCTGTGGTGACTGCGGGGAATCACAGAACCCACTAAAAAGTAGAGAGTGCTGTTGACATCGAACACACCCAGAGAGAATAAGTGGCCTTCTCAGTGAAGGGGGTGCTGGGGAGGCACCTGGGGAACCCTCTGTACAAAACTTAAAATAACAAGGGGCTGTGCTGGCAGGAGCCCTGGTGGTTCCACTGGGAATAAGCCGTTGAGAGTGGAGGTCAGAGAGCCTCTGCAGTAGAATACAGGTTCTGTTCTGTCCGTGGCTGGACAACGTCTGGGCTTCACTGTACTCCTCTGACTGATGCCTCCGAGGGTTGAAGTGAGGGCAAAATGAGACAGTGTCTCACACATTTTGCAGTGGGTCAGAGGAGAACTCTATAGCGTTTTCCAGGACTGACTTTGTTTCTGAGACATCTCTGAGAGGACTCGAACCTCCAATGTGTTGAGTAGGAGCTGACTGCTGTAGCTGTCTGGACCACCCAGGCACTCCTGAACCACTCAAGAGGCAACACTCAAGGATTGGACACCCCTTCCACCAGCCAGCACCTCCCCCAAGGTATCTCAATTCTGGAGGCAGTTCTACCCATTTCTATCTTATTTTAAAATGACACCTAGATTCGTAATAATTAAGAGCAAAGGTAGGCCTCGGTGAGCATCATCATTACAACACTGCTCATGAGGTGGAGGCTGAGCAGTGCCAGGGACATTCAGTGCCTGCTCACTGGGAGCAGCACAGTTTCAGTTCAGTTTTGTTCATTAACTTGGTTCAGAGGCATGGGATTTCCAAAGAGATCACAACAGTGCTATCTATTTAAATTAAAATCTCAACTGAAACTCTACAATGTTAATGATGACTATACACTTGATTCTCAGCCGAGTCCACTTTTCAAAGTAGCCTTTGTGTGGCACCTTGTGAAAGCCTTTTTGATTCTAGATAAATTGGATCCCCTGGTTCCTGCGTATGTCCGTGTTTATTTATTCTTTCTTAGAAACGTAAGGAGGCCACTCGGGTCGGCTTTCTGCTCAGAGAAACCATAATGCCTTCTCAGAGTAGCTCTGTTTGCACAGTGCCCGTGATCCTCTCATAACTGAAGATTGTACAACATGCTCATTGGGAGGCAGGGGTCACCAGTGTGCACCTTCTAGGGCGTTCTGGTTTTTTCCCCTGAGGGAGGAAATCTTTACCCCCCATGCCCTCTTAGTCACAGGGCTGCAGTGTTCACAGGCAGGAGAGAAGCCCTGTGTCTACCGGCTGCCGCGTCAGGAAAAGGAGTGTTGTCGAATTAAGACAAGTTAGAATTGATTCAACTGGAGTTTGAGGGTGGTGCCAGTCGAGTTTACAAGCTTGGCTTCGACCCCAATGGTTAAAGGTTCAAGTTTACCCAGAAGCACCTCAGGAAAAGGGGCCTGATGAATCTATCTGAGAGAAAACCACCACCGAGAACGCTCCGGAGCACAGTTCTGCTCGACACTGACTCCCATGGTGTTGCCGTAAGCCAGAGGTGTCTCGATCTGATGGCAACTGGTCAAACTGAACCAGGACTGGGGTTTGGGGAATGAGAGCCGGCCAGCTAAGAATGCCAAACCAAGGCCATGGAAACAACTCGGCAGAGTGTAGGTTCCCAGAGACAGGATGACGCGCACAGGTTTTTCTAAGGACTCTGATCAATCAGCCCAGAAGAGGGAAGCCAAACGAATAAGAGTTCTGATGGAAAGAGAATCTATAAGGGACACAATGTTGTCAAGATTCTGTAATACAGATCTGTGAACAAAGCTGATGAGACTCTAGTGTATGTTCACCTTTGACTGAATCCTCATCCCCTCTGTTCCTTGGCCAAGGATCCCTGGTGGCAAAGTGGGTTACTCATTGGACTCCTAACTGTAAGTCAGGAGTTCAAAACCACCAGCCACACTGAGAGCGAAAGATGAGTTTCTCTGCTCCTGTAAATATTTATAGCCCAGGAAACCCAAAGGGGACAGCTCTACTCTGTCCTATAGGGTCAATATTAATTGGAATAAACTTGATGGCAGAGGGTTTTTAGCTTGGTTTTTTGACAACGTCTTGTCAACCCTGTGGTCAATGGCTTCCACAACACCCATTCTAGCACCCTCAGTCTTTCCCCACTCCCTGTCCTATCACTCACCACCCTCACAAGTCCCATCTTTGAACCTTAGGAGGAAACTCTACAAACACACCAACAGCCCCCTTACAAGCGGATGGCTTAGTGCAGCGCTTTCCTCCCTCCCCCTCAGGACCGCTGCAGCAGCCCTCTCACCACCAGCAGATGTCCGCTCTTTACTTCATCCCGCGAGACGTCGTTACCTCCTGGCCTTCCTCCCACTTTAAGCAAAGAAGCCATCTTCTTTGTTTGCAAGACGAACTCTCCACTATTGAATTTATCTCCCCCAGCTCATTACCTCCCATCTCCAGAATCTCCTACTGAGTGCTCAAGTGAATGACTGTCCATAAGAGGAACCACACCCTCTTCAAAGTCAAAGATCCTGATGGAGCAGACTATATGCATTGTCTATGTTTCCAGTTTCCTATTTGTTACGCATGTTGTTTCCATTTCCTCAAGTTCATATTTGCTTCTCAACCCTGGTGGCACAGATTAGGTTATGCTTTGCACTGCTAACCGCAAGGTCAACAGTTTGAAACCACCAGCTGCTCTGCAGGAGAAAGACGAGGCTTTCTACTCTCATAAAGAGTTACAGTCTCAGACACCCACCGGGGCAGTTCTACTCTGTGTTACAGGGTCGCAATGAACTGGAATTGATTGGACGGCAGTGAGTTTCTTGTTGTTTTATTCTCATGACCTTATTGAAACAGATTTCTTTCAGGTAGTGGTATCTCTGATATTTGGAATCATGCTTCCTGGAGCCATCTAGTTTCTCAATACAGCACATAATATGACTTTGCAGATAAGAGATTAAGAAGATGTTTCTGGGTTGCTTTACCTCATATATGCTGCAAAAGAAGAATTTAGATGGCTAAAATGCAGTGAAAATATTATAACTGTTGTTCTTCTATTTAATAAGGTAGTTTATAGCTTATAAGAACAGACTCCTCTACCCCCATCTGCCCCAGGGGGCTCTAAAAAGCTAGTTTTATTTTGGGTGGGAGAAAAATGTGGCTCATAAACATTTTTATTTTTCCTGAATTGACCCTTGTGTAAGAAAAGGTTGTTGACTTCTTTTCCAAGGTCTGTGGAAGCGAGTTTATTCAAAGGTATTAGTGTTATGAAAGCCCTTTTAGAAAAGCACACATGAATCTAATTTATTGAGATGGGCAATTTTATGTGGAAGTTCAGGTTCTGACCCTGTCAGAGTCACAGAAAACCACGAGGCTCAATTCTGGTGTTCAAACCAATGTGCTCAGGGGCACGAATGAACATTGGGTAGCTTGACAAGCCACATCAACACACATGCGGATATTTATCCAGGTTGTCCTGATCACTGTCAGCACCTGAGGGAGCCCACGTCCAGGCTGGTAGGAGGAGCCCTGAGTCAGTGACTTCAGGGTTCTCGCAAGGTTTGAGAAAGGTGCCTCGGATGCCAACTAGGTGAAGCTTCCCTTTCTCCTGTGAGGTTTTATTTTCCGAACAACATTTATGTCAAAGCAGTATACATTCATTTCAGGAAATTTGGGAAGGATAGAAAATCAGTGGGAGGCATCCCAAATTAGATCTTCAGAGAAGCATACTGGTTTGTCTCTTCCTCGACTTCGTAAAATGCATACATGTTCATTTCTGACTCAGGCAGCCCGTAGGGCACAGAAGAACTGCCTCTTAGGGTTTCTCAGGTTGCACCTTCTACAGACATTGATTGCCAGGGTTTTTCTTATGTGGTTTCACTAGTGGTTTTGAACTCCCAGCCTTTGGGTTAGCAGTTGAGTTCTTAACCACTGCCCCAGCAGAACTGCTTAACGTTTCTATTTCAACTTACTGCCAGAGTCCATTCTGATTCATGGGGACCCCATAGGGCACAGCAGAACTGCCCCCAAGCATTTCCAAGTCTGCCACTCTGTACAGGAGTAGAAAGCCTCATCTTTCTCCCGAGGCACGGCTTGTGGTTTCGAATTGCTGAACATGTAACTCACTGTGTCCAGCATGGCTCCTAACCCATATGCATTGCTACTCAGAAATGAGCGGAGCCAGACTGAATCACGGGGGGTACCTGCTTTGTTTGACGGCGTCTTT